CCCGTGGGGGACTGGGAGGAGGGGTAGGGCCCCCCCCCCGGGTAGCTGTAGCCCCCGTAGCTGTAGGAGGCCGCGTAGGGCGCCGGCGCGCTCTGGGCGTGGCTGGGGGGGTACTGGCCGAAGGCCGAGCCGGGGTGGGGGGCGGAGAAGGAGGGCTGGGCCGGGTAGGGGCAGGCCACCGGGGGCGGGGGCCCGAAGGCGGGCCTGGGCCCGGAGAAGCCCCCCCCGGGGTAGGGGGGGAACGGCGAGGCCTGGCCGGGGGGGCCGGCGGCGGCGGCGGCGGCGGGCAGCGGGTGGGGCGGGGACACCGGGTAGGGGCTGTAGGGCAGGCCGGGGGGGGCCCCGGGGGGGGGCCCCGGCTGGGAGGCGTTCTGGGGCGGGTCTGTGGGCGGGGCCGCGCACGGCGGCTGGCTCCACGGGGACGGCGTGCCGGCGGCGCTCTGGCTGCCGGCGGACGCCATGGCGACGGCGGCGGCGGCGGGGGGGGCGTCGGCCTCGCTCCGCTGGCGCAGCGCTTCCTGGAGCTTATCCAATCGCACGCGCCGCTTGTGAGCCAGCGAGCGCAGGGACAGGAAGCGGTCCAGGAAGGAGTCCAGGAGCAGGGAGCCCTCCAGAAACTCATCTGCCAGAGCCTGCACACACACACACACACACACGCACACACACAGACACAGACACACACACACACACACACACGAAGACAGCAGGAGAGAGAGAGAGAGAGAGAGAGAGAGTCAAACTCTGACATCATTGGTTCCTGTTAAGAGTCAGAGGAGAGGCCGGACCTCCACAGGACCCTGAAATAAGTTTAATAGGTGGATTTCGTGGATCTGGTGAGTCAGACTGACCTCCGACTAGGGTTGTCAAAAGTATCGATACTCGAAAAAGTATCGATACTAAAATGTTGTATCCGGATACGATACTCATTTTCAAAAGTATCGATACCACCGCTGCCCCCCTTCTCTCTGATTTATTTATGTATTTATTTACGTTGTTTATGATCATTAACAAGATGTTAGCGTTG